TGTTATTATAACCCTTCTCATTTTAAAATATATAAATTATTACTTAAACTTTTAAATTTATAATAAATAATTTAAATTGTATCATAAAATTAATTTTAAATAGAAATAAGTAGATTGTTAATTATAAAAGTAAGTATATATATAAATAAAGATTAATTAAATATAATATAATTATTATTATTAGTAATATAATTATTATATATTATTATATATTTATAACGGTCTGGATATACCAAAATGATAAGGATCCAAAGATAGTATAAGTATAAGATTGGATAGTTGAGGATGACTTAAATGAATTAATTTGTACTATTTATACTAATAACATGCATCTGCTTTTCGGTAGTTTATCTCATTAGAACTTCACAGTTAAGCGTGCTTGACTTAGAGTAATATAGGGATGGGTGACCTTTTGGAAAGTTTCTAGAAATTGTGTAATTAAGGACAAAACATGCTAAAAAGTTAAGTATTGTGAAATAAAATTCTTAAAAGGCAAAATATGAGTGGTTCGTAGTGACCAAATTTGCGATGTCTATAAAATTTAATAAAATAAAGAATAAATATTTAGCGACCAATTTATACGGTCACTAATTTGGTCTCATACACTTCAGCGACCAAAATCATTCAACCATTTTGCGACCGAAATTTTCGGTCGTTAAACAGCAACCAAAAATTTTTCCGTCACTAAACAGCTTAGCGATCAAATTTTTAGCGACTGATTAAAATCGGTCGGTAATTCCATCGTAAGATAAATAGCGACCGATTTTAGCAATTTAGCGACCAATTTTGGTGGTCGCTAAATTGCATATTTTTTGTAGTGATTGAAACTTTGGAAAAGAGATATACCTACTTCTATTATTTAAAAAATTAAGTAAATAAAAAGTGATAAGAAAATGATTGGTTGTTAGCACAGATGTAAAAAAAAATCATATAGAAAGATGAAATTCACAACTAGTAGAATATCAATATTCTTTCCAATTAGATATAGGTGTTTTTTATATTTTCATCTTAACGGGATGAATACAAGTATCATAGTATATATTTATATCCGCGAGTACCCGCTAATATTCAATAATTACATCTTAAATTTGTTTAAACTTATAGAAATCAAATACTTTAATAATTAAATTTAGTTTTTAAATTAAAAAATCTTGAAAAAAATACACTAGTACATGCTTAACGGATATTCATGGATATTGAAAAAAAAATACACGAGTGTGTGCTTAATAGATACCCGTATGGAGATGAAAATGGGTATTGAGTGGATATTTATTTAGCATGATGAGTAATGGGAAGCTACTACTCGTACCCACCCTAGGCCACCTTATTAACATCCGTGGCTGTAACACCCCGAATTTTCTAATAATACAATACTGATTATTATTTATTTTTATATAGTTATTTTTGTTAATTAAAGGGATTTTATAGAGGTTTTTAATAATTTAAAATTATTTATGAAATTTTTTATAAATTCTATTTTTTTAGGCTGGAACGGACTGTTCCAAAAGTGGAACATGCCATTCCAAATAATGAAAATAAGTTATTTTTGAAGTAGCAGAACGGGCCGTTCCAAAAGTGAAACGGGCCGTTCTAGAGTAGAAAAGAGGCTAATTTTGATTTCTCCAGAACGGGTCGTTCTAAAAGGGAAATGGGTCGTTCCGAATTTCTAAAAATGCCTAAAAAGTTTAGTTAGAAACTGGGCGTTCCAACTATAGTCAATGTGTTTGATTGAATAATTGACCCAGCTCCTTGTTGTTTGAAGAAACCCTCCACTTCCATTGGTATTTTTTCACGAAAAGCAAACATGAGATAATAAATCCAGTCTAACATGGACCCCAGAATGGGCCGTTCTGCTTTTTGGAAACGGCTCGTTCCGATTTTAGAACGGGCCATTCCAGTTAAAAAATTTACGTATATTTGAAGGCTCCGGAATGGGCCGTTCTGAATTCAATACGGGTCGTTCCGGGTACATCAGGATGCCTATAAATAGGAGGCAGGAGGTGAAAAATTTATAACTTAGTGAGAAGTGAAAATTTTAGAGAGAGAAAGAAAGAGAGAGAGAGAGAGAGAGAGAGAGAGAAGGAGAGAAAGAGAAAGAAAGAGAAAGAAAGAGAGAGAAAGGAAGAGGGAATCCAAAGGAGGAGGTTCTGCTCTAGTTTCAACTCCGCTTATCCAGGTAAGGGGGGAGTGAGGAACCTCGCTCGGGGGTGTGGGGATAATTATTGGATATTATGATTGTCAGATTGGCCCCCAATCCCTTGCTTGTTGTTCTATTTTACTTTCTGTTTACTCTACTTTGTTACTTGTTGGAAGTAATAATGAATATGAAATTAATGTTAAAAATAAATGAGTTTTAATATGAATAAGAATGCTTTCTGTGGATCTCTGTGAATTCCTATGTGGACCTTATGAGGAGTATTTATGACATGACCATGTGAAATATGCACAAATGACATGAGACATAAGAATGGACTATTAAGACAAGCTATGATTATGAAACCATGAAAAATGATGACATGATGTATTAAATGGAATTCTGTAATAAGTTAAATGTGAGTCAATGAAATAATGAATGTATGACATGCATCATATGCATATATTACTCCAGGTGTGCCGCTGAGGCTGCATACCAGTGATGTTAACAAGGTGTACCTTAGGATCACCCACGACTAACAAGGTGTACCTCAGGGTCGCCCACGATGTAACATGCTAACGAGGTGTACCTTAGGGTCACCAATGATGTAACCAGGTGTACCTTAGGGTCACCAGTGATGAATTGTGAAATTTCCTTATGGCGCCACATGCATGCATTTATGAGTCAAGTCCATGATATCATTGCATGATAAATGAGTGTACGTGTATGTATGTTGTTTCCATGTGACTTATATTTGTTGTGTGTGTGTGTGCTATTTAACCTTTATTTCTTCACCTGAAACTGAGTGAGATGTTTCTCACTTCCTTGTTGTTCTTGTATTTGTTTAAATTATGTTGCAGATGATCATCATCATGAGGATGTTGGCGTGAGGCTTAAGGCTTCAGTTGGGCATGCTCTGATAGGATGTGACATCGGGCATAGCCAGGCTTAGTTTGGGATATTATTGTCTTAAAAGCCTTAATTTTCTTTTATTGTGTAATTTTGAACATTCTTGATAAAAGACCAAAATATGTATCTTTATCATATTATTTTTATTACATGATTTGGAAGTTAATTATAAATTAATTCCTAACTAGGAAGCATTGTCACCTTTGCTGGAATTAATCTATATTTTCTTTTATATAACTTCTTGAGTTTTGATACTTACGTGTTGACTTTTTTTTTATGATTTATGAGTTACGAATGTGAATCTTCTACCTTATAATATTTGAGA